TTTTTTCTTCATCTCTTGCCTTCCACCTGAGAAAACAAACACCAGTCCATAGGTTCTTTTTCTGTATTAGAAATTTGCACAACGTGTAATCTAAGACGAATCCAGCTGAGTGTTACAGGTTTGGAGTTTAGACTAAAGAAGAGGCATGGAATCTTTTCATTGTTTTTCTTTATTTTGAGAAAAGCTTGACAACTTGGACTGTTTGAAGGAGCAGTTATATAAAATATGTCCTGCTAACCAAGTATTTGGGATAAAGCACCACATTATTCTCTTTAGATTGCATCAAAATATTTCTACCCACAATTTAGAACCTTTCCATGGAGAATTTAGACTTAGAACATTTTGAAACTTGATAAACAAACAAAGAAAATACCCTTACCACATTAACCTGCTTTTAGGATTGAGAAGTATCCAATTTACGAGGTTCCACATGTAAGTTCTAAAGGCTTATAATTAGTTTATCTTCCTTGTGGCTCAAATATTCCAGAATGTTCTTGGCATGTCTCCTGGAGGTTTGGTGTACTAAGTGACCTATGGGCTCACTTCACTTAGTTCTTTCATATCACAGTTCCACCTATTCTGTGTTGGCTACAAAACAGTGATTCTAGTGGTATATGGATGAAAGGACAGATTCCAGGGTAAAGAAGGTGATTTATTAATGTCAGATTCAGGTGCTACTCTCAAAGTCCCATTCATAGTGAGTGGTTTAGCAGCAATTTCGGTTATCTTTAAGAGCTTTTCAGTTCTGTGTGGTAGTTATGGTAAAGGAATAGCTGAGAGTTAACAGTACTAAATTAAAGTTGTTAAGTTGTTCACATACCAAGGATTACAATTTCTTAATATTAGGAACTATTCTGCAAGATAACTATATTGATGTTGGAATTACATTAATGTAGCTGTGCTGGGGTCCAACCCCAGCAGGTCCATGGGTTTCCCATAGGTGTGGACGGAGTCGGCGAAGAAGGAATGACACGGAGACAGCGTTCAGTTGATCAGCAGCCTTGCCAGGATCTCTAGTCACAATCTCCAGCCAAGTACTGTGTCCATGTTCTCTTGCTAGGTTCTCCAGCCAGGTTCTCCAGGTTCTCCAGCCAGGTTCTGTAGCCATGCTCTCACACTAGGTTCTCCAGCCCGGTTCGGTTTAGGTTCTCCAGCCAGGTTCGGTCGCCAGGTTCTATAGCCGGGTTCTCTTGCCAATTTCTGTAGTCAGGTTCAGTCCAGGATCTTTTGCCATTTGTAGTTAAAGTGATTAACTACCCGCCTGGCACTTAGTTAAGGAGTTTCACCCCCTCCCTAACTTCAGGGGAAAATCTCTACCTGGGGAAACAACCTTTCTCGGAGAGGTGACCTTGGTTAAAACACATAGTGCCAAGAAGGTGAGCAAACATATTAAGAACAGTATGCCATATATGCCAGGTCCCTTGAAACAGCAAGGATGGACTGGCTCCCAGCATAGCTGGTGTTTTTCTCTAGGTACAGGCAAGCCTATACCTGAAAATGTATAATTTATTCACAATAAGGGATTGTATTATAAAACTCAGTTACTTTTTAAAAAAGACCTTTAAATTGATTTTTAGAGAGAGAAAGGGAGAGGGAGAGAAACACTTATGTGAGCATGAAACATTGATTGGCTGCCTTTTGCATGCCCCCATTGAGACAGCAATCTGGGCATGTGCCCTGACCAGGAATCTAACCTGTGACCCTTTGGTCCAAGGGCCAATGCTCTAACCACCGAGCCAAACCTGCCAGAGCAACTCAGTTACTTTTTATTTTTGAGGGTTGTTTTATTCACTTGATTGAGAATTTTTTGACTATATCCTGGGTGCCTATCCTTATGCTTGGAGATAAATGGAACTTACCCCTTGTCCTTAGAGAGAAAACATTTTAATGGGAGGCAGAGATAAACATATAATTGTAATATAATGTGATGTGTTTAAATAGACATTAAAAGCTTGAATATGGAGAATTTCAAATGTATACCAAAAAAGTACAGAATAGGAGAGTGAACCCTCATGAACCCATCATCTAATTTCAGTAGTTCTCAACTCTTGGTCAGACTTGTTCCACCCATACTCCCCACTTACTTCCTTCTCTCCTTTTATTTGGAAGCAAGTCTAAGACAGTGTATCATGTGAGTGATGTTTTTGGACATTTGAAAAGTCAGAGAATACGTTTGGAAAATAAACCATACCTGGGGACTTGGGAAGAAGAAACAGAGAAGTAGCATTGGAGTTAAATCTAGTAGGGAGTGAAGAGGTTCCAGTTCCAGGTGAATGGGATGGAACCCAACAATTATTGAATACTAGAGACCCGGTGCATGAATTCATGTATGGGTGGGGTCCCTTGGCCTGGCTGGCGATCAGGGCTGATAGGGGCCATGAGAGGATGGCCGGGGCGTGGGGGAAGGGGCTGTGGGAGGTTGGCCGCAGGAAGTTACAATTGAGGACTGCAGGAGGTTGGCTGACCAGGGGAAGTTGGCTGTGGGGGTGCACTGACAACCAGGGAGCAGCTCCTGCATTGAGGTCTGCCCCCTGGTGGTCAGTGTGCGTCATAGCTACCAGTTGTTCCTGTCGTTCTGGTTGTTTGGTTGCTTAGGCTTTTGTATATATAGATAGAGTCCTAAGTATTGTATTAGGTTCATTTAGTATTTAATTAATTAATTTATTTATTTTTCCTTCCAATAGTCTTATGAGAGAGAGAATATTTCTACTTTACACATGAAGAAATTAGGTTTCAGGCAGATTAAATTAACTTTCCCAAAGTCATAAAACTAGTTAGTTTCTTCATTGAAAACCAACATTGACTTTATGGCTATTTATTTTATTTTAGTTTTTAATACTCACCTGAGGATATTTTTTTAAAATATATTTTTATTGATTCCAGGGGGAGGAAGAAACATCAGTGATGAGAGAGAATCATTGATCAGCTGCCTCCTGCACACCCTCTACTGAGGATCAAGCCCGC